AGTTTTTTTTTATTACCGCAGTCAATCGTTACTGTGTGTTATCCAACATTTTCGCTTATCCGACGTTCGGCCAGCCCGTTTATGTCGGATAAGCGAGACTCTACTGTATTAACATAATCTGAGGCATTGATAATTTTAAAAAATCAAGTCAAATATATATTTCTAATTAAATAGATACTCAGCTAAAGAGATTTCATGTTGTTTAAATTGGACCTATGATATTCAAAGTAAATTGTTCTCCTCCAGTAGAAAGAAATGAGCTGAACATACCAGATTATAAAGCAGCAAACTGTGATAAGCTATTAATTCCTTGACTGATTATGTTCTATCAAGTCCATATCAGCTCTTAGCTACTACACAGTTAGATCTTCAGAATGATCTGTCCCAACCTGATCTACCTGGTCTCCCAACAGTGCATCCATCACCACTGTAATCAAATCTATCCACTTTAACTGCTAGTCATCCTCTTCTATTTCTTTCCACCTTTCCCACTATTGCAGACTTCTCAAGAGAGCTGGGTTTCTGCATTACGTGTCCAAAATATAATAATTTGAGCCTGGTCATTTAAGCCTTGAGTGAGAACTTTGGACTGATTTGTTCTATGATACATTTGTTTGTTTGTTTGTTTTGGCCATCCACTAAACTCTCAAGAGTCCTCTTCAACACCAAAGTTGAAAAGCATGAATATTCTTTCTAATTTGCTTCTTTAAAGTTTATGTACCTTGGTGAAGTTTTGGTTGTTTGAAGAATGTGTTAGTAGTGAAGGAATCATTGGATTGGCAGAAATCAATAAGCAGTTCTCCCTCATTACTGCTTCCTACACCATATAGCCTAATTATGTTTTCCATCTTTGGCATTCCAGTGTCCATCCCAATGTGCGGCATCTTGCTCACTTCAGTATAATTGCTTCTTTAGTTATGAGGAATCTTTATGAACGTTTCAATGGTTTCATCATCAAATTTCCTGTTCTAGATAGCTGTACGTTCTTCTATTGCTACCATATCTGTAGGTGTCAACTAATATTTATAAAAAGGGAAATAACTATTATTGGCCAGAGAATCCCTTGTCCTCCCAGTATATCATGCCTTCTGACAGCTAATTGGCGATAAAAATTCCTTAATCTCACAACACATGGACAGACTCAACCACAGTTTCAAGTGGGAGAACTATTGGCATCTTAGACCAAGCCAAATCCAAAATACTAGGGAATTCCTGGAAGCTGGTCATTCAGACAAATCAGCCATCAATAAGACATATAGAGATAAACCACATTTACATACCATTCAAAAGAGATAATAAAATACCTAGGAAGGAAACAAAAAGACTAGAACACATCCCTCCTAGCAGCCAATATTCAGATAAACAGGGATCAGCACCAGACAAACAATCAGGCAAAAAACAATAATCAAGAAACCACCAAGAAGGAAACTACACCCACCAAAACTGGCAGGGCAAGCTACTGTATATAGATAGGCAGCAAACTCATGTGCACTGATGGTGTTACCTACTTGGATAATGGAATGTCTGCAAGCAAATAGCCAAGCTCTTTGGAGTACCAAGAACTCCATAGTTCAACCCTGAGCTACGGAGCTCTTCTGTTGAAACTAAACTAAGTTCGTGCTGCATACTTTTAGTTTACAGTTAGTGTTTAAAATACACAATATTTTTTAGAATCAACAGACTAGGTAAGCATTATTGTGTACCCACTTTCTTAGTATTAGTATTATCCCAAGGATTAGTATTAGTATTAGCCAAGGAATTCTTTGGGATTTACTTCTGACTGAATGTGTATAATTGCAATGAAAATAATGGGAAAAAAATCCATTGAACATATTGGGAGGTTTGACTTAATACCAAAGTGGTCAAGTGCCAATAGAGCAGTTATCTGTGGATTCAGCTTTTTTTGCTTAATTAAAGGTATGGGTAGTGACTCTTGATTCAAAGAAACCTTCTATATTTTCCTTCAAAAATTTGGTAATTAATTTCTGGGCAGCCATAGGAGATTTCTTTCCAATGCAAATAGCTCCAGACAAAATATTTTTGTCAACATAGCATAAGGAGAGGAAAAAATTTAATTTCTACTCCCATCTGTTAGGGTCCAGCTAATGGCCCTCCTCTGTTGCTTTTTTCATTTTAAGAATATGCAGATAAAATGCAAAGGTGCATTGTTTTCTAGTAGGCTTTCCAGCAGTGTTTTCAAAAAACCAAGGTGTAATTAAAAAACATGATTCACAATCTGTTATTAACAGTTCAGAATAAAATGACAGGCTTTTCCTGAGCATGCTTTTATTGAGTAGTCATCCACATGTGTATTAGAGGCACATTACTGCAATTAACACCACAATCCCTCAGGTATGATTTCTGCAGAACTTGGGTAGAAGGCTGAAATTGGAAGAAATGCTGATCTAGCAAATCATAGCACCTTGCATAAAGTACAAGAATAGTTAAGTTACATTAGATCAGTGCCTCTCAGATCCAATATTAGGATCCCACAGTACAAAAACAAATGCCTTGGCAAGTGCAATAACACCTTTTTAATACCCTCAATCCCACATCACAGAAACCCAAAATCCCCAAAAATAAAAATCACAAAGACCTTGTGTATTAGGCCAGAGAAAGGAAACCCTTCAGAGAACGCAGCACTCAATGGGCATAGGCGTTAATTGCGTAAAATGGTCTTCTTGCTGTCTGCAGCCCACTTGACAGAGAAAAGAGGCAAAACTGCTTATGCTACCTGAGATGCCCTCTATCCTTGTTTGGAAAACAAGACTATGGTCACCAATATTGAGAAGAGAGAAGGTTTATCCTCATCAGTGCAAAGGGGAACTGGAATTAGCTAACCTTGTGATGAGGACTACTCATCCATATGAAGCCCCCAAGTGAGTTCCAAAGTCCCAAACATTGGATTAGGATTTTATAGCGATCATACATGGTGTACCTGAGCCCACACTACGTTTCTTGCTTACTATTACAGTTTACAAGACACAGTGACATGCAGATTCTGTGATGGCTAATTGTTGTTTGTGATAGAGATGTAAATAGTTTGCTTCCAATTATCTTGGAGTCAATTGTTTTTGCCTCCCAATTATGGGATCTAGGTTGATTTTTAGGTGAACTTTACTGTAATCTTAAACAATGCATACCAAATCACTAATACAATGTCTTCCGGATAATTCCATTACACTACATTTCAGTTCTGTTTGTGCATTTAAATTTGCATGACATACATAGGTGACACAGTTTTACCAACAGACATACCAATTAAGAGGATACAAAATAATAATACATTGCTCAAGTCAATAGGAGAGTGGCTTGGAGCCCAGAAAGTAGCACACTAAATTCAAAGAAAAATAAAAGCAGAAGTTCAGAGACTGACAAAGAAATAAGGTCAATTTAAGCCAGTTGGAGAAAGGACAAAAGGAAAACTAAAACCTGTTGCTGTAATAAAGCCAGAATTTTGGAGGCTTCTAGTATCTCTGGAAAGAATTATGTCAATTAGAAAGCTGTGAAATGTAATGTCTAATAAAAAAAATTAGATCCTTTTTCCTATGCCAAATTGACTTTATGGGGAATCCCAACATTAAAAACTGGGAAAAAGATGGTGATATGGAAACATTGGATGGAAGCGGGGAT